ACACCTCCATCCCCTGCATACACACACACCTCCATCCCCTAACATACTTTGACTTCAACTCTGATTCTATTATACTTGCACGACGGTTATTTCATGTCCAACATTTATTTCTGGATGATGAGTCTTGACATGAAGTAACATCTTTGTCATCTTGGTTTATTTTTCGCTGCGCTCTCTTCCTCCTTAGACTTTTCTAATTGATTTTTTACTTAAAAGGAGATTGCGTAGGATTAGGTGGTATCTAGCAGTGTGGGTGCAGATTGCTGAATACCCCTCCGCTCACCCTTTCCTTTACCAAGACTTTGGTCACGTGAGCCGCAGAGTGCAGAACATTGGTAACGCTGTGTTATCTTTCAGGACCTCGGTCTCGCTCAGAGGCCATCCTCACCACAGTAACACTACCTCAGCACTCTGTGGCTCACGTTACTGCAGCTTCACAAGCATGTCAACCTATTCCCAAGAACTGAACCAGGACCCACAGGTGGGTCGCAGGAGATTTTAATCAGTTCGCCAAATAAATTTGAAGAATTCCTTCTATAGTCTTTTATCTAACGCACGCGCACACACACACACACACACACACACACACACACACACACACACACACACACAGTACAGATTTTGGCCTCATGAGGGAGCCTGAATATTTGTATTGTTTTACTGATAACACTGAATCTAATACGAAAGGTTGACGTACATTCTGTTTTACTGATGAGAGGACAAATGAAAACAGTTACGAATATTATATTCCATCTCTGCTAATAGATCTCCCTAAATCCTGCAGACTTTAACCTTTCAGTGTCTTTTTCCTACTCAACTTTCAGTGTTTTCCACATTTGCAAAAATAAAATATACAAAGAATCAAAACCACGGTGCTCTTTGCGCTCTCTCGACAAAATCACCTTGAGGTGATGAAAGTAGCGGTGACATGTTTTGAAGAGAAGGTTTTGTAAGCAGTGTCACTGTGTGCGTGTGCGTGCGTGTGCGTGCGTGTGTGTTCCCTGCCTCCCTCCACTTCCCCTGGCTGCTTTCACACTTGCACTTAGGAAGCTGCTGAAGATGACAGGTCAGAAAACCACAAAAAATAAAGACAAAGAAAGAAATAGAGTGAGTGTGTGTGCGTGTGTGTGGCGTGCGTGTGTGTGTATGCGCAAATACATCAGAGACAACATCTCCTGCAGTCTGAACTTCATTCCCTGACTGTTGGGCCTTTCACTGACTTCCTGTCAGCGGCTCTGCGGGCCAGACCTCCTACGTGCAGCTCACGTCAGTGTTGGCGACGGGCTGCTGATGAGCAAAGTATCAGCAGCATGATGGCAAAACGCTTGAACACCAGCGATCCAAACATCATCTCAGATTTTCCTTTCGGCAAAACATCCGCTGTAAATATAGACGCCATACAGGACTGCTCAAAAACACAAAGTCTTAACTAAAGACTGGGCCGTGGGACACTGAATCATAACGTCACAATGAGACAAAATAACCCAGTAAAGAATATAGTGTGTATATTTTGGGTTTCGGGGACTAATGAGCTACATTATACATCAATAAAAACAAATTACACTTGAAGATTGATCTCCATAACACAAAGTGCCAATGCAGCCGCTGTAGGATTCATCTCAGCAGTTATATTTAGCATCTAATTTACCATTCCTACAGTCAGTTAACCCTGTGTTCACATAGCTCACAGCGCCATGTACCGCAGAGTGTGACAGAAGAGAACATGTCAACACTCTAAATGATCAGGATTGGGTGGAGACACAATAGATGAGTAAGAAGTGGAGATTGAAGTCATGGTTCAACTGTTCCCTTTTCTTCTTGCGCTTCAGATCACAGAACGTATGTGAATTCACTCGAGTGCATTTAATAAGAATCTCAAAGTTGAGGCAGAACTTCTCCAGACACATGGGCCTTCCAGCGAGACCCCTTGCAGATTTCTCCAAAGTTTGACGACCTTTTCAATCTAAATGCCGTTACCCATTCTAATACTGGCTGTGATGTGCTCAGAGCTCTATTCACCGCCGCCCCCACTCCGCCAACTGTTTTAAGTGCCATCCATTCAAAAATAGAAATCCCTTATCTCTCCAGGCCGAGGACGACTCGTAAGAGATCCATCCGTTCAGCCAACCTATTGATCTGGCTTCCTGCTCGCTGCTTAAAGAGCGACACGGCGCTGATGAATGACCCGTGTGAATAGATACCAGCCCCTCATCAAAAAGGCCTCCCTGCCCAGCGGGGTGGGAGGGAAGAGGAGAGACGGACAAAGGACAGGAGGAGGAGGAGGAGGAAAGACAAAGGGACAGAGGGGAAAAGGACAATAATGGTGGAAGACTGATACGAGATTAGACAGAAGACAGATATGGAAGTAAAGTGATGAGGGAGCACAACACAAACTCCGTCTGCAGGTCAACGTTTAGGAGCGCTCGGGCACCGATTAATGACAGCAGAGTCAGATTCCAGCGTGCAATCCGGATAAAGCGTGCGCTCGTTTGTGAGTCTGAACTCTCACTTTTCTCCAGCTGTCTTTTTCAAAGTTAAAGTCTGCACGAGGGAAAAAAAGACATCTTTGGAATATATTTCTCTTGTGTAACTGGGAACCAGGAGGCTCTTTAGGACACCTTGTGATTTACATCTTTTATGCCGACGTGCCTTTAGCCTACGATTCACTTATTGTGGGCGTGTGGATCGAGGTTCAGCCCAACTGGTCACCTCACAGTTGCCTAGTGTATTCATACCAGTATGTTGTATTTGCCACTTGCCTATTCAGACAACGCTGTCGGTATGAATGCAGCCACAATTCTAATTCTAATTTGTTGGAACCCTGAGTTTCTTTTTAACCAACTTCTGAATAGTCTCATACTTCGGCAGGCAAGTCCGGACGAGTCCCAAGTGTTTAAGTGAGAGTAGGTTTTAGCGAAGTTGTATCTGTTTGGGAAGTAGTGAGCACACGGCTGGATAAACAAAACAGATTACACTGCACGAGTTGTGAGAGAAAGTCAGAGTAACACAGGCAGAATAACTGATATACAAATGGTCATTTTGTGAATGAAGTATTCCTTTAACACGAACACAGTCTGTGTGATTTATATCTAGTGAGTAATTTCGACTTTCTTAAATTGACCCTCGAAATGACTTCATGACAAGATCATTTGCCAACAAATGTAATTTGAGTCATTTAGGATTATAAAGTCTTAACAGACACTGCTCCCCGTCTCCATCGAGTCGTTAACGCCAGTGCCCAAGCTTTTATTTTGAAAGTAGAAGGAAACTGAACATGGTTTGAGTTTGCTCTCAGGGTATTCAGACTGACAAAAGTGTGAGAATCACTGATGCTGCCTCAAAAGTAGTTACAATTCCTCTCGCGTGCTCAAATCATCATTACGCTCAAGATCCTGTCCTCCCTCCCTCGCTCACAAACCTAATCCTGATCTTACAAATCTTTGTCTGAGCGTGGACTTGTGGACTTTGCAGACTGGCGAGATACACTCGTATTTGTTTTGAGCCCTCACAAGTCTTTTGTCATCAATATACTTCCACCGCAGGAGATCAAAAGACTGAAAGAGACACATAGAAAGCGAGACGGACACAAACACAAAGAGAAGACGACACAGATGGAAACAGACAGAACAGTGCGCTTCATTTGATCTCAACCTCCACAAGAGAAGCTGGCCAAGTTAGTCAGGCTTCAGCTCTGACACCCCCCCCCCTCCATCACACCCAGGAGCTGCCACTCTCACAGGGAATAGAAATCAACATCCACCGG